GTGCCAATCACCCTCTACCCCCCATTTCAGTAATTAAATGGTAAACACTTTTCATTTTCTTTTGTTTCCTGCCCTTGAGCTAGTGATCCTCCTGCCTCCACTTCCCTCAGGTATTACCCACCACACCAGATATAAGTGCAGTTGAATAATCAAAGGCAAGCATTCCAATATGCAAAGTTTTAACAAATTTCAAAGACAGGGCTGGCGCTTGCCTTGCATGCTTGAGGCCCTGGGTTCCATTCCTTAGCACCACATAAGCAGGAAAAAAAAAGCCGGAAGTGGCGCTGTGGCTCAAATGGTAGAGCACTTGCCCTGAGCTGAAGAGCTGAGGGAGAGCGCCCAGGCCCAAAGTTCAGGCCCCACAACTGGACCTCCCCCCCCCAAAAAAAAGACAGCTGCTTAAGCCAAATAATTAAAATAAAGTAATCCAAAAAGATACTTAAGAGACCTACAGAAGATGAGCAGTAACCCCAAGCCATGGAGAAAATACGATCCCAGAGAATGCTGATGTAACTATTACCCCTCTGCCTTTGTGAAAGAGTATGTAAGGGGATGAAGATAAAGATGGTACAACTTTCACAAGAACTTCCATGCATGAAGAAAAAAGCTCAAAGTCAAGACTGATGCAGGAATAAGTAGAAAAATTTCTTCCTAATGTATGTTGTATTCTTTGGCCATGGAGTCACTAACTTTACATTTAAACTAATCTGTATTTCATATTGATTATATGACATGACCTATTGAGGACTAGAATCTAACATAGTGAAATTAAATTTTCAAGCAATTTTAACAGTCACATGTATTTATATATATACACAAACACACCATGTATACATGACATACTTATACAGACATAAAGGTTCTCAAATAGAAATAAATTAAAAATTAAGTTTAATTTACTATATTGTTTGCTTCTTTAAAATAACTAAAACAACTTTAACCAATTTCTGGAATTCTTACAGAAATGATTCTGTTTACTGCATGTTTTTCTTTATGCTAATTCAACAAATCCTGAGTTTTGCTTTTCGTCTGTGATTAAATATATATCACCCTAAGTAAATAAAAAATATTGAAAATAAAGTTTACACCTTGGTGTTTAGTTATTTGAAATTAGGTTTTCATTTAAAATAGTATGAGTAACATTTTTATCACATTACCCTTTATCTGCTTTAACTTGGCCTGTGTTCAATTGATAAAGTGAACCCTTACTTCTAAACAAACATCTGACAAAGCATTATTTAAAACACTTTATACATGAATAATTTATCTCTTTACAATCCAGAAGTCTTGCATGTCAGTATAATCTATAGCTTCTGTATCATCACTTGAAATTTACCTGAAAAAGAAAGCATAAGTCATTGATTTTTAGATACAAGGAAAACAAGTCCATACATCCATTTTTCTGTGCCATTTAGGAAGCAGATTCAATCAACAAACTTGCCGTGTCAAAGATCTTTCTACACCCCTCACAGTGCTCAATAAAATCAATTCCGTTTTTTTACTAAATAATTCTCTGGCTTAGAAGTAGGTGCCTTTCTTTTTTGTAAATCCCACCTTCTGGGCAGTTTATTGCTAATTATCACAATAAAGGGAAGGTAATACAAGGAAGCACAAGTAAATTTTATTCCTGGTTAGCAGCCCCAGTGAAAAGATCTTAAGGAAATTTAGTGACCAGTTGGTTTTATTTAGCTTTATATACTATATATATTTTAAACTCTAAAAACTAAAAAGTATCAGCTGGCCTTGGTGGCTTGCACCTATAATTCTAGTTACTCAGGAGGCTGAGACTGGAGGACTGCAGTTCAAAGCCAGCCCAGGCAGGAAAGTCCATGAAACTCTTATCTCCATTTAACCACAGAAAACCAGAAGTGGAGCTGTGATAGCTCATGTGGTAGAGCACTAGCCTTTAGTATAAAAGCTCAAGGACAGTGCCCAGGCCCAGA